AAAAACCAAAAAAAAAAAAAAAAAAAAAAAAGAACTATTAATGAAAGATGTATGCTAATTCCTGTCATTTTGTTGGGTCTGTGCAGTTTTCTTAGACCTCTTTTAATTAACTGCCCTGGTATGTTTTTTCCCCTTTAACCTTGCGAATGCATTTATTCTAGTCTTCAGACTAAATTATTCCAGTATCCTCTGTAGAGTTGACTTAGTGGTCAAAAATTCCTTTAATCACTTTTATCATGGAAAGTTTGTATATCTCCTTCAACTTTAATAGTTGTTTTCATATCTTGGACTGATTTATCTCTTTCATCTCATGTTTTATGCTCTCTACTAGCATATGCATTTCTTTTTTTGAGTTGTGTGAATATGCTTATAAACATTCTTTTTAATTCTTTTTCTGGACATTCTTCCAAGTCATTTTCATTAGTTGTTGTTATAAAATTAGTATTTTTAGAGGAGATTCATTGTCTTGGTTTTTCATGTTTTTGTTGTTATGCTAAGACTTGCACATCTGGAGTATTTTATTGGTTGAATTCATTTATTTATTCTTTCTTGCTTATTCAAGTCACCTTTGTTCTTTCAGTGGATGCATTTACAATGTTCAGGAAATGACTAAGTCTTTGTAGGGTTGAGATGTTCATTTTCCCCATAGGACTGATATAAGCAGTTCTAGTTTGGATAGGTAAGTGTAAGCAGGGGATGCTCGGATCTCCTACTTGCTGCAGGAGTCCATAATGACTGGGTTCCTGGGGCAGGATGATGTAAGGTATCTTCTTCAATCTCACAGCTAGTCTGACTACCCACCTTGTTCCAGAGGTTCTCTGTCTTTGCCTCCCAAGCCCTGGGGTTAGAGGCAGATTCTCCACACAGGTGTCTCACATAGACGCCAGAAATCTGGGCTCCAGTCCTCACATCTGTTCAGCAAGCTTTTTCCCCTCTGAAATATATCCCCAGTCTCTCCATTTTTATTATTTTGTGTGTATATCTTCAGTTTCCCCAATACAAGTGCCTAGAGTCATTCTCCATTGTGAGTCTTTACCTGGCTCTAGTCTGTTCTGTTGGTCACTGTGTCTGCTCTTCTAGTAGTATCATGATATTTTGACTAGAATAGCTTTGAATATAGTCAGGTAAAATGGTAAAATATTTTTTCTGCTTGCCTTAATTTTGATTTAGCCATCAAAATTTGATTCAAGTAATTAGATTTTTGGATTAATTTTGCTAATATAGGGTTCAGTTTACTCATTTCAGGAAATATTGTGCTTTATATACTTAACCTCTTTGCATTTATCTTGTTAAATTATAAATATGCAATACATAATACTGTAAGTAGGCAATGATAAATGATGACGAATGTTACTGGGGGTGCCCAAATACTGCAACCTTCCTGTCTCCTAGGAAGGCTGATAATGTTGCATAGAATCACAGGTTAAAACTGGAAACAAAGATCCAAATTTCAAATGCAAGGACTTATTCTGACATTAAAATTTCTTATTTCTTGAATTTCCACTAACAGGATTTACATGAAGCATACTGGGTATGCAAAATTGCTATTTTCATATGTAGTGTATTGTTTGTGTGTGTGGCATTTGTATATATGTGTGGAGGCTAAAAGTTCACATCTAATTAACCAATATCACTTTTCACTTATTTTTTAATTTTTTGAGAATTTTTTCATATATGAGTACTGTATTTACATTATTTCTACCCCTTCTCCTCCCACCTCCAATATCTCCCATGTCCACCTTCCTCTCAAATGCATGGCCTCTTTAATTATTGTTACATATGTATATACATAACCAACTGAGTTTATTTAGTATTGCTCATATATACATGTGTTAAGCTGACCTCAATGGAGCTGAATAAATTATGAGGATGCACATCCCTGGGGAGAGCTGGTTCTTCCTCTCTCATTAACCATTGGTTGTCTGCAGCTCTTCATCTAGGGGTAGGGCCCTGTGCAATTTTTCTCATCCAAGCTGGCATGTCAGTTGGTGTTGTTATTATGTGGGTCTTGTTTAGGCAACCATATTGCTCAGATTTCATGGATGCAAGTCCCTTTCATATCTATAACACATTATCTCACTGCAGCTGTCCTGGTTTTCTGTCTCTTACAATCTTTCTGTCTTCTACAATTTTCCCTAAGCCTTAGGTATAGGGGTTGCATTATAGATGTACCAAGAGGGAATGGGCACCCCATGGTCACTTATTTTCTGTATTATGACCAGTTGAGGGTCTTTACTGCAAAAAAAAGAAGCTTCTTTGATGAGAAGCAAGAACTACACTTATCTGTGGGTATGTAGAATGCAGTTAGAAAATATATTGATGATGGAAAATGTCAGCAGTAGGTTCTCCTCTAGGGTCTATGACTGGTCTAGCCATTCGTTTATAGTCCCAGACATGAATTCCTCCCTATTCACCAGGTCTTAAGTACAATTATACTGCTATTTGTTAGCTTCAAGTAAAATGTGCCATTATTGCTCACTCCACTGGGGTCACTTTGCCAGGCCAGGCCTTTTTCACAGTCGTAGGCTTCACTGCTGGGTGGGACTATTTATTGTTTCCCTCCCTTGGCCTCCACCTTTTGAGGCAGGCTCAGCTCTGAATCTAGAGCTCATTGATTGGTTAACAAGCGCCTGAGATCTGCTGGTCTCCACCACTGCCCCAGATTACCGATCTGCGTGACCATGTCTGGCCTTTCCATAGGTCCCGAGGCTCCAAACACTGGCCTCAGGCTTGCACAACAAGCATTTTACTGGCTGAGCCATCTCTCCAGCCCTTCAGTACTTATTTTTGCAAGAATGAGTCAGGTTAGCAGCAGATACACACTCAGAGCACAAACACAGACATAAACAGGGCTACATAAACTGCGGTTGCTACTGTTCTGGTGTGGACCTGCCCTGGTGCCTAGAGATGCCTGCCTTAGCCTTTGAGAGTCAAGGCATTATGTTGGTGCCTGTTAAATGAATCCTTTCTAACCAGTAACATCACCATGATTCACATCAGAGGAGACTGAGGACCAGAATTCCCCCAAGGAGAATTAAAATTCATTTCACAATGCCTTCATTAATTTTTC